AAATAAATAACCTAAAGAGGCACTAAGCCCCAAAAAATCCTAAAGACCTAGTAGGGCACGAAGCCAAAAACCTAGAGCCGGGGGGGGACAACATATTGAGACGCAGACAGGGTTTTATACGCAGGGAGGATGATTGGGAGATGAGCTGCGGGTGCGTGGGGAGAGAGAAACCAAGGAAACCTGGTGAAATCAATTTACTAATTAGGGAGAGGAATCTAAGCTGAGGAGGGGAAATAAAACATACCGTAAATCCTCTAATACATGTCGGTATTCAATTAAAGGCCGGGTCTCCAATTTAGGCCGGTGTCGGAGTCGGCGGAGGTGAATAAAGGCCGGTCTCTTATTGTGGCCGGGTGGAATGTGGTAACAAGCAAGTACGTGGGGCGGTTGTGTCATCGTCTCACTTTTGATTTGCCAGTGATAGACCGCGAGGGTAACTTTAACCATGCGGAGGCTGTGCCAGAGCGTCGGTACTGACACGCGATCGTTCATGTCGGTTCATTTCCTTTAAAGATTTCTGTCTTTTATTTGCGCCTGATGTGTTTCGCTGCACGCTGTGGAGCGGGGCACATCAGCTTGTCCTCCGGTGACGCACCGATCACTGATGCGCCCGCCAAGCAGGGAGCACTCCGCTGTTTTTGCGGTAGATCTGCCTCCTGAGCACGGCCACAGTAACAATCAGGTGTCGCCACATTTAACACGCGATCGTTCATGTCGGTTCATTTTCTTTAAAGATTTCTGTCTTTTATTTGTGCCTGATGTGTTTCGCTGCATGCTGTGGAGCGGGGCACATCAGCTTGTCCTCCAGTGACGCACCAATCACTGATGCGCCCGCCAAGCTCAGAGCACTCCGCTGTTTTTGCGGTCGGTAGATCTGCCTCCTGAGCACGGCCACAGTAACAATCAGGTGCTGCCACATTTAACACGCGATCGTTCATGTCGGTTCATTTCCTTTGATGTTTTCTGTCTTTTATTTGCGCCTGATGCGTTTGGCTGTGGAGCAGGGCACATCACCTTGTCATCCGGTGACGCACCGATCACGCGGCCACCAAGCAGCGAGCACTCTGCTGTTTTTGCGGTCGGTAGATCTTTTAGAACTGCAGTTCAAAGGTAACTCATAAGGTGAATATATATGAACCCAGGTAGCAGTTTTTCTTTAGGATTGAGAGGAGATGCAGGAAGATAATAAACAGACAGGACAGAAAAATAGTCAAATAAAAACAAGTTAGTTTTTGTACCTGGTGGTTGCAACAAACAGACAGCACTGAAGGTCATCAGAAGTGAGGAACAGAAAATGAAATAATTATTTTAATGTTTAGAGCAGCAGGAACTCTGAGAGGCTGCAGGCGCATCAGTGAGTTTGCTGCTGCTGCGCAGGGGGAGGGGGGAGAGGGCTGAAGCAGAAACTATCGTTGTTAAAAGAAATGTGTTTAACTTTGAAAATGTGGGCGCAATTTTAATTGTCAAAAACTCCAGCGAACCATTACTTCATTTTGCTCAAATAGAAATAGAGGCCTGCCTCTAATACTGGCCCTCCTTCCAATAAAGGCCTGGAGCTTGATGAGCTTCAGTCAAATACAGGCCCGGGCCTGTATTAGAGGATTTACGGTAACCTATGAATAATAACCAAACCTAAAGACTAGAAGAACAAGATAAATAACTAATGATCTGAGGATAAAGGGAGAACTAATAAACCGGAGGGGAAGGAACAAGGAAGGAAACTAAAAGAAAACCTGAACCTATGAAAACTACAAGGAAAAACTAGCTAAATAATATAAATACACAGAGAACTAAATAATAAGCGAACCTGGGAAACCTGGTGGGAGCTGGAGACAAGAAGGGGCACAGGAAGCTTAGGTACACATTAGGGGAATCCTAGAGGGACACTTGGAGGGGTTGGAGACCTAAAGGGGCACAGAAACCTAAGGGAACACCTAAGGGGAAAACCTGGAGTGGGCTGGAGAACACATGAGGGGGACACAGGACGCAGAACATGACAGCTAAACACGTGAGTGCGTAATGAAAGGGGGACCCAGATAAATGCGGACATGAGTTGGTTCAGCGAGATCGGCTATACTATGATCCAATGGTTGCTTTCGCACTGAAACATATTAATGACGGAGGTTGTCAAGACAAATGTGAGAGAACTCCTTTATTGATTATTTTTGTTTTTCTTTAATCTCGACAATATATTTATAGCTTTACTATGTTAGAACGTTGTTAAGAGGCATGAAAAAAATGTTTTAGGCCAATTTGTTTTCCAAATTTGCCTTAACAGCTTTGAGAGAGAAAGGCAGAGGAGAGGAGGAGAAAAAGTGCTCTAATAACAGGGGAAGTGAAGGGATAGACAGAAAAGAGAGAGGAGCGTCATCTCAAATGCTACAGCTGCAATCTACCAGTCGAAGCAGTGATGTGTATCATTTGGGACAGCTCAGGTGTCATTTGTGAATGAATGTTGTTCAGAGTTGTGTAATGATTCACTCTCAACATGAATCAGCCTCCAGAGAGGCTGTCAAAGCACGGCTTGTCTCAGCTGGGATTTGTCTCCTGTGGAGCATCATGGAGACACTGTTAGCAACTGCGCGTTCGTAGCTCTGACTGCAGACTAAAATAACATCTAATCAGTATATCTTTAAGAAGAGGGATGGCTCTTTTCACTCGCATCAATAAATTGCACAAAAAAGACATTTCTGGAAATGTTTGAGTGTCTTCATTGTGTCAGCCGAGAGCCAGTGTGTTGATAAATCACAGGTTTTATCCTAACAGTAAAATTACACACTGTGCTGTTACAAAGTGTGATTACTCACCTCTCTGATTACTCTCACTGATGATACACTTCACTTTTTCCCTCTAGAACACGAAGCCAGTGCTCTAGTAACACAGTTCTCACAAATATCCCAAACAAAAGTGCATTAGTGACAAATAAACTCTAGTGTGTCTCATTTGTGTCATTTCCAAGGCAGAAATGATTTTACTGGTGTATGTAAAAGCTTAAAAGGCCAAGTGATTAAAAAGTCCTCAGGGACTACTGAATCAGTGAGCAGATACACCAGTAGGACAGATCACTTCCGTAATTTAAGTGCAGATTACATGTTTTAGTGTTTCACATAGCAGGCTGTCTGATGTCAAATGTCAGCTCTTTCCACGGTTCCCCGCTGTTTTCAGCTGCAGGGGCAGTAACGGAGTTATTTCTGAACTGTTTCCTGTTGTTACAACTGAAAATATTTTTATTGATAAATTAAAGCTTCCCTTTTTTAAATTACACATATAAGGACATATTTATAGCCTTTCATTCTGAAAATTAATTAAAATGAAAAATAAGGACTATCTGTTTACTGCCAGTCTGACTGGATAGTTTAAAGAAGCAGAACTCTCATTTAATCAATACATTTGCAGTGGTCTCTAGTAGGAATGATTGCCTTGTAAGCTGTTCTTAAAATTTACTGGTGCACCATTTCTCTGGCCTAAAGGTTGCCCACATCTCTCACACACACACACACACACACACACACACACACACACACACACACACACACACACACACACACACACAGCTGTGCTTCAGTTGTCTATTTTTCCAGATTTTTGGACATCCTGCCTCAGATTGAATAACAACAACGTGACTCTACCTCTGATTTGCAACATGGATGTTTTGTCTCCACAAATAACACAAGCCTGCTTCTGCTCTGTGGTGGAGTTGCTAATGCTAAAGGTTAGCTTAAACTAGCAGTGTTCCACACCTTTAAAAAATGATATTTTATTTATTTTAATAAAAAAAGATAAAACACACATAAGCCCAAATCATGTTCATACCACCCTCATGCTCAATGTTTTTTTCTGATGATGAAACTGTTCATTCCACATTTATCCTCATCATGAATATCCTGAACTTTATTTGCCTAAAGGACTTTAATGCAATTGGCATCAGGATTGTTTTGTGTTTCTTTAGATTCTGGCACAGGATCGGGTTGTTGTTAAAAAAGATCTTCCAGACTTGAATTTGGTTTCTTTACTTTATTTAACTCTCTTCATCCCCACAATCCCCACTGAGAAAGCTGATAAATTAAAGTGCTCATTAGCTTCCTGCTCCTTGTGAGAGTACTAAACAGATGTTAAGAGTCGCCTTAATGAGCCAACAGCTGTATAAACGCTTTGACGTTTTCTGAAAGCTCAGATCTCTGGGGATACCTCGTGGTTTGCTTGCTTCCTTCTCTTTTTGCTCTCAAATGGTACAAATCTGGAGGAACAGCTTTCCATAAGGAAGTTACTCATTTAAAGCCAGAAGTAGTAGAGCGAGACACAAGAGCTTCAGGCTTCCATTAAGATGGTGCGTTATTGGAGCAAACAGTGACAAGGTTAGTTAACACATGTGTAACTATAAACTACAGTCGTTTGGGTCCCCCGGGCGAAGACAAACGAAGTGAGGAGCAGAATATATTGGTCCTGCAGGACTGGGGCATTACCTTTATGGTGTGTGTGTGTGTGTGTGTGTGTGTGTGTGTGTGTGTGTGTGTGTGTGTGTGTGTGTGTGTGTGTGTGTGTGTGTCACAGTGGGTGGCTGCTGGACCACATTCTTGTAGAAGCAAGCCCTTTTTGTTACACAAGCTTGATGAACAGATTGAGCTTCAGCAGATTTCAGGAAGTGTCCCACACAGATTTCTTTTTCATTCACAGATCTGACAGCTTAGACACAACAGACAAAAATCTCTTTTCACATGTCACACTCTTAGCTGCACTCTCGTCTCTCCAACCACGGCCTAACGTTTATGTGTCACGTACAAAAACACTCAGGGTTGAGCTCATTATTCGTGCTGCCGGTTTTGGTGGTTAGGTGACAAATAGACTCTATATCCTGGCTCATACACACGTTGCATTCAAGAGCTATAACAGGTGTGAATTTAAATTTCCACCTGCTTTGAATAGTCTTGAGCTGGTAATCAACACATCCCAGAAATTTATTTTTAGCTCTAAATTACTTTTTTTCTGTTTTGTTTGTGCAGGAGAAGCTAAAAACATCCCTCCATACCCAGGACCAAACAGGATGAGGGACTGCTACTGCACCGTCAACCTGGACCAGGAGGAGGTCTTCAGGACCAAGATAGTGGAGAAGTCTCTTTGGTACAAAAATCATTGGTTTCCTGCCCTTTTTGGTGTTTTAATCCAAATTCACAAAAGTAAAATCTAAACTTTCATTAGAAAAATTGTTGTGTGTGCATCTAATTACTTCCATGAAACATCTTTCACCATTCTGGGTCATAAATAGCTAAATAAACAAAGTTAAACATTTTTTTTTTGTTTGGTTGCTGATAAGTACCACCATGTGCTCCTCTGTCTGAACACCTAGCTCACAAGCTTCATATTACTGTGATTTCTGTGGTTGGGTGAAGGCAGATTGCGTAGGCTGATATGACTAATGGTCACAAACAGACCGCAGAGTCACTTTTCATGTGATTCATGGACAGATGTAAATACCTGCAGGCTTTAGTTTCCATCTGCTTGGTGATAAATGGAGCACATCAATCCTCCTTGAAAGAGTGAGAGGAAACGGCTCGTATTGGCGGTGTTGACATGCATGAGAAAGCACATTTGCGGGTGGGGGGCACGCCCGCCAACAGAATGGGAAAAATGTTACAGATTTACCAGTTAGTCCAGCAGTGCGTTTACATGTGCATCCGAAAACCAAAGTCTAGCCCTAATTTCTCTCTGGGATTAATAAAGTATCTTTGAATTGAATTGAATTAAAAAGACTCAAGTCTGTTTTTTTTAATGCATGTTAACGCGTTTGTCTGGCTGACAGCGAACTGGTTCTAATCGAGCTGAAGCACCCAGATGAAGCGGTAGCAATCCGAATGCATTCTGCATGTAAACGAGTCCGCCGAACGCCGGTTGGACACTCGAGACAGCAACAAGACAGTGGAAGCGGTCTTCTGAAATAATCGCCACAAATTAACATGTGTAACACTATCAAACAGTACTTCCATTCATCCATTTTCGTCCACTTATCCAAAGTTGGGTCGCGAGGGCAGGAACCTCAGCACGGAGACCTAGAGTGTTTCTCAATGCCAAGGAACCTTGCCTTGATGTCTTGGCCCCACCCCGGTTGCGTAGGAGATACGTCATCGGGAGCCGCCAAGACGTGTTCCAATGTTCATGTTCTACCGAGGCGTCTGTTCTTCGTTTGTTAGCTGTTTAGCTAGCTGAGCAAAGATACAGGTGAGGTGTCTTGTAGCCTAGGCTTGGTCAAAATTTTCCCAGAATACACCGCAGTGTTTTCAAAAGGACGGTGGATCAGAAGCCAGCAGCTACTTCAGGGACAAATTTCAAGTTTAAATGTAAGTCAACTAATTTAAAATGTTTTTTTTTAGATCCAAAGAATTTATCTATTGTTGGTTAGTTGCTAAGTAGTTGCAGCTTCGGTAGTTAGCGGGTAGTTACTCACTTATATTTTTAATTTAATAAACATATACACAATTTAAAAAGTAAAAGGCTCGTTATATATTTATATTGAAACTAATACATATAAAATATAACGTAATCTCCCGTGTCACGTGACATTACGTGACCGCCGTGGAAGCCGCGGTCACGTGATGCAAGTCTGTTCCATTTAACCGTTTTCTTTGACCAAGGAAGGACAGTGTCCTTGCAAGACATCGCTTCGCAAGGCCAGGCACCTCGACATTGAGAAACACCCCCAGACTTCCCTCTCACAAGCCACTTGGGCCAGCTCCTCCGGGGGAATCCCATGGTGTTCCCTGGCCAGCAGAGAGTCATAGTCCCTCTAGCATGTCCGGGGTCTTCCTTTAGGTCTTCTCCCTGTTGGATGTGCCCAGAAAACCTCACCAGGGAGGTGTCCGGGACGCGTCCTAATCAGATGCCCGAGCCACCTCAACTGGCTCCTCTCGATGTGGAGGAGCAGCGGGTCTACTCCGAGTCCCTCCTGGATGATTGAGCTTCTCACCCTATCTCTAAGGGAGAGCCCAGACACCCTTGCGGAGAAAACTCATTTCGGCCGCTTGTGTCCGTGATCTCATTCTTTCGGTCACTACCCAAAGCTCATGACCATAGGTGAGGGTAGGAACGTAGATTGACCGGTAAATCGAGAGCTTCACCTTCCAGTACAGCTCTCTCTTCTCCACGACAGACCGGTACAACGCCCGCATCACTGCAGACGCAGCACCAATCTGCCTATCGATCTCACGCTCCAGTTTTCCCTCACTTGCAAACAAGACCCCGAGATACTTAAACTCCTCCACTTAGGGCAGGGCCTCATCCCTGACCCGGAGAAGGCATTCTACCCTTTTCTGAATCAAGACCATGGTCTCAGATTTAGAGGAGCTGATTCTCATCCTGGCTGCTTCATACTCGGCTGTGAACCGCTCCAGCAAATGCCGGAGATTATGTTCTGATGAAGTCAACAGAACCACATCATCGGCAAAAAGCAGACCCAAACAGTGGACCATGTACCAAAGAAGCTGTGCTGCAGTGTTGTTGTCCATTTCTTCAGCCATTGTGCACATCCTGTTTCAGTTCTGTCTGCTTCACTCCCGCCAGCGTTTGCTTACTATTTGTGTCGCTATAAGCTAACTGAGAAAATGCTGACATGAAAAGGCGTATGTCACCACCTACTGTACCAGACTGGAACAAACCTATTTGAGAGGTTGGTTTGCTAATGCACATGTAAACTAAGATCAAGACTCCCAGCTTATTACCATTAGATCAACCTGGATTGACTTAAATGTCGGTCAGTGCGCATGTAGCCGTGGGACTCAGCAAAAAATTATTTAAATCACTTTCAGAATTACAATCAGATTTTTCTGGCACAAAATAAGAAATTTGAGCTTTAATCTAAAAGTATTCATAACTTTTTGCATCATAGTTCTCTTATTTTTCATTCAAAATCTGGTTTTAAGGTCAGAAGACGTTAAAAATCATGTTGTTTTATTGCAACTTTCTTCTTTCTGTCTGACTTCTCCTCCTTGTGCCCTTTTCCCATCATTCATCGAGCCTCATGCACTCACTTACTCCCATGTTTGTTGTGAAACACGCTCCATCAGATGAGTGTCTAACCCCGGTGTGACTTGTGTGTCCTCTGTCCTCCAGTCCGTTTTACGGGGAAGACTTCTACTGCGAGATCCCACGTAGCTTCAGACACCTCTCCTTCTACATCTTTGACAGGGACGTGTTCAGGAGGGACTCAAGCATCGGTGAGCGAACCTCAAAATCACCTCACTAATACCCAGCATGGAAAGTGACTTACCGGAAGTTAAAACATAACCCTTCATACGTTCGACCGTTTACAAAACAACATAACAAATGGGTCACGTTTCTGAGGTCAGACATAGGGTTCTATCATCATCATCGTCATGTATTTACTGGGACACCTGATAAGTTGAAATGTCCCAGTGCTTGTGGCAGCTTCCCGAACATCCTCAGTTCAGAGAAATATAATTTACTTCCCCACAGGCCGATGAGCTAATGGCTAGCCCAAGACCACAGTGTATTGTTTCTGTCAAACGGCTCCAATCTTCTGTTTTCGTTAAGAAATCTTGGTACTGATGTGTCGTTTTGAATCAGCATCAGATTGTTTGTTTGCTGGAAGCTGAAACATCACCTATGGTTAAAAAATAAACCCTATTCTGTTTTATCTACAGGTTTATCATTAGTCAGACACAAGATTCAGAATGACCGCAGACATAGTCACACACAAACCCAGTCGCACTTTGCTCCCTGAGGTTTGGATTGGCTGTTTTTAAATGTTTACATGCTGAAGCGCTCAGATCGGCCTGCAGCTTCTGTCTCCATGGCAACTTGCTGAGTCAGTGATGTTTCGCTGAAGAATGGGACTCAAAGTAAAAGCCCCAGCCCTGAGCTGGTTAACGTCTGGATGATTAACAGTCCCGTCACTCGCGGGCTCCTGCGCTCGCTCAGGTTGCTTTTTGTTCTGGACCCAACCGACACCAGAACCACCACTTCATCAGGAGGCAGCTCTAAACCAGCAGAACTACAGATATTGAACACAACATATTATTGTTAGTTAGTTGATCCATGTTTTCAGCAGATACATTTGGTTCAGCTGGTTGGAAACATGACTGCAAAGTGCACCCAGAAGTCTGACAGCCTAAAGACTCAGTGGAAAACGCACATTTAACTCAGTCTATTAGCTAGAGGATGAAAGACTCAAAAGAAATAAAAGGGGAAAAAAGCATCATGCAGAAACGTCTCATAGGACAAAGTTCTTAGACTTGTTTCTGTTTTGCAGTTGGTGATGAAAAAAATTCCCCATGTTGCAATGCCTAAAAAACATTTTTAAGTCCTCAAATGTTCAAAAGCAGCTCTGCGCGTATGCGATTGGCTGCCTACAACAGAATGTTTAGAGGATGTTTTGGTTTGAAGTAGATTTTAACCACAAATTTGTCACTTTAGGTTTCTTAGGGTGCTGATGGGTGTGCCGTGCGAATCATTGGGTGGGTTTGATCACCACAAATCTAAAAACACCTCTGCAGCAGCTCTTTGCTGCATGCTTGTGTGTGTGTGTGTGTGTGTGTGTGTGTGCGTGCATGCGTGTGTGTGTGTGTGTGTTACATGCAAAACAAAAAAGAGCAACCCTTCCAGGGGTTATCTCCAGGCCACCAAAGAACACTGTGTGAGTGTTTATGTACCAGGTGCGTCAAAAAACAGAACAGAGGTAGATGGTGTGTGGATTTACAGTGCGTGAGCAGACCTGTGAGTGTGGGCGTTTGTAGAAAGCTCACCGTAGTTTGCACCTGAACACGTAGGCTTTTCGGAAGCACAAAACTGAGCTGGTTTGTCTTTGTGTGTTGATGTGTGCGTAGGCAAGGTTGCAGTGAAAAAAGAGGACCTGCAGAAATATCACGGGAAAGACACCTGGTTCCAGTTGCAGCCTGTCAGCGCTGACTCAGAGGTGCAGGTCAGTACAGAGAGAACTCCTTCTTTTCTGATTAACAGCTGTTTGCCTCAATTTATTAAACTTTTCTCATCTAATCTTGCAGATTCTCTGCTTGTTTGTTTTTTCTTTACAAAGCAGGGAGGGTGTGAATTCAAATCCTCTTAACTCAGAAACTCGTTGTTTTGCTGCTTTTGCCAAGTCAACAAATGAGTCCACCACAGACACTCAGAAGACATTTACCCAGTGTGTTATGCTTCAGACAGTGCTGGCCAATCCTGTTGCTCGAGGGCCACTGTCCTGCATGTTTCACTTGTTCCTCTTCTCAACCACTCGGCTCAGTGTTCTGGAGAAGCCCGTTAATCATTCATTGATTCAAATCACATCATTAGGACTCTTAAAGACTTTTGCAACCCGGGATTAAGTGTGGTTCACCGAAAACCCATTTTTATTGATTGATTCTGATTATAATCGGTCACTCAGAGTTTTTCATGTAGGCTGAACATGAAACAGTCTCCTACACCTATCTCCTGCATTAGCTTCTGATAGAAAATAGATGGTGAAACTCTAGGATTTAAAACTCCTGACAGATGTACGTCTCACTGTCTCTTAACACTCATGGTCTCGCCCATCTTGACTCACGGTGGGGAAGGCTGTTGTTGGTTTAGTGTCCTGACTAGATTAAGCTAACCATTAGCATTAGCAACTTCACCACACGGCAGAAGCTCCTCCAGGCTTGTGTCATTTGTGGAGATAAAATATCCACGTCGCAAGTCGGTGGTAGAGTCGCATTGCTGTTATCTAATTCGGAACGAGACGTCTAAATATCAGGAAATGAAACTCAAAATCCTGCTGTCTGAAGCTCAGCTGGGATGTGGGTCACTTCTAGTTTCTGGAAATTGTGCATCTGTGTTTTTTGTCCCTCAAGTACGACTTGCAAAACATTCATTCCTACTAGAGACCACTGAAAATGCATTGATTAAACAGGTGTTCAACACCTTTAAGTCATAGTAATCCTAACAGTTCCAAATAAAAAGAAACTTTGGAATCAGATTTGAAGTAAGAAGTTTCCAATTTGTTCTATTCAAACCAAAAAGTGTTTAACCCTTGTAATGTGGTAGAAAGCTGTTTACAACTGTGGTGTTAGCAGGTCCATTTGGACCCATGATGTAAGATGAAATTAATTACTTTGTCAAAGCAAGCCAGCTCACATGCTTCTTCCATCCTTTCTGGGGGTCATCCGTTTTAGTTTGATGCATCACTGGCTATATAACAGTTAAGCTTGGTTTATGCTTGACGCAGTCACTTTCCGCTTGGTGATGCGGCTCGCGGATGGAACGCGCTTCACAACTCGAAGCGTTTATGGTTCATGCGGCTCGTCTCTGCGGTGAGCCAATATTCTCCCAAACTGTAGGGGGCAGCATGGAGCTCTACAGCATGCATCCAACACTACACCATAGTAGAAGTAGAAATTATGCCGGGGACACACCGGCCGCGGAAGCGCCGCGAAAATAGGACCGCCTTCATTCGGCGCCCTTGTTAAGCTATTCTATAGACCACATGGGCCGCCGAAGCGCCGCGAATCGCCTCGCGCCGGCGCTCCAGCCCGCGCCGTGCAGCGATCATTTCGGCGTCTGCTCTATTTTTTTCGCGAGCCGCGGGTGAATCGCGTCAATTCTGGCAGGAAGTCAAACCTAGACATAAGAGGCAGGCCGGTAAAGTTAACAAAATAAAGCATTTCAAAATAAAATTCCACAATAGTCAAATGTGTTCGTAATCAGACACTGCAGAAAAACCACATGAACACGCACACACATTCACACACATACACACACATCGAACTTGTGTGCGTGTGTGACCACGTGAAGGGGGGTGTGGTTTGGGGTGTCTTTTCACCGGAGCAAACAGGACAGAGAGGTAGAAAGTCTGAGGCAACTAGTTAGGATGGATGACTTTAAATTAATTATGGAAGTTGAGAAACACAAGGAGCTGTACGACCCCCCTAAAAACATGGTTATTTACGTACCCATTTAGGAAGAAACTGCTAGGATACAGCTGCAGAATTGGAGCAGGTTCCAAGAGATTCAACTGGCAGAAACAACTCATAAAAGTTAAAGTTAAAGTCCCATTAGTTGTCACACACACAGGTGTGTGTGCAAAATTTATTCTCCGCATTTGACCCATCCCCTGGGAGAGCGGTGAGCTGCAGACAAGCCGCGCTCATACTATAGGTTCACACACACACACACACACACACACACACATGCACGCACGCACACACACACACACACACACGTACAAACACTCTAACGTAGAGGAAAAGAGCTGAGAAAAGGCAGAGAGGAAATGGAGGACACCCAAGTGTTTAAAAGAAAATCTACAGCTGAGCCGAGGTGCGCCTCGACTGGGGCGCGTCTGATCTGAACTGAGGAGCGGCAATCAGCGGCCGAATTTCGTGAGTGATTCGCTTCTCGGTGCTTCGCGGCGCTTCCGCGGCCGGTGTGTCCCCGGCGTTACTGTTTACAACATGGCATTTCAGCATTTTTTAACAGCGTCCTCGTCTTTTCCGACAGTGCGAGCTATTTCTCTCCAAGAATTATTAACAACATGTTGATCATGGTGATCTCTGAGCTGAATCATACAAATGTCTGTATTTACGAACCTCTGCCATACTCGTTCTTGCCAGTACGCCATGTCTTTCTGCGTCCGACCGTCCGCTTGGTTAGAAAATTTCCTAGGTGCGCGGTGCGGAAAGTTTGGGCCTTGCGGAGGCGCAATGGAGGGGCGTGGTTGTTAAAATGACGCAACTTTTCCGCGCTGAGCCGTGCGGACCTCGCGGACTCGTCAAGCATAAACCAACCTTTAGGGTTAGGGTTGGATTTTTTTCCTTTTTACTCGATAGTTAAGAATCTATCACCACCTGTATGTTGCAGCTAGTTAATATGAATCCAAATCCTTACATGTTGACAGCTTTGTATACACACAAATGACATCAAACTCTGAACCATTCTTCCATTTGAAGTACATATTACTGTCATACAGCTAATGAAAGGTTTGTTGGATCCCTTATCCGAAGGAGGATGCCACTCTCTAATTTTATATTGCGCCTCTTTTTTCCACCTGCTCTGCTGAATTTATAAAAATAAAAAAAATCCAACTTGTCTGTTTTTAGAGTATTTTCTTTCTCAGTTTGTCCCTTTGTTCTATACTGTGTTTCCAAATTAAGTGTGTGTTTGTGCATGCATGCACAAATGTGTGTGTGTGTGTGTGTGTGTGTGTGTGTGTGTGTGTGTGTGTGTGTGTGTGTGTGTGCCCATGTGCTTGTTGATGCAGCTGTATGTATTTTACATGGATTATCTGCTATTTGCTGAAGCTCTCTGTTGGAGGCGAATGTCAGTTCAGGAAATGTTAGGTGTTGTGTATCCACTGCCCCGTGTCAATGTTTGAGTCTGCTGTGCTTATTCACACAGCCACTTCTAAAAATAAAGTTACATTAAACCATGTTAACGGTTTCGTTATTAGAAATTTAACTTTAAAAGACTCTGAATGTTCCTTAAAATAAAGCCACCGATGGCATGAAAACATCCGTGTGACAACAGGCCTCACCCAGAGGCTCACCCGGCATACATGGATGTATCTGTGTGCTGACTGTGTCTGTGTGTTAATGTTGGAGTTAGTGCAGAGCCCAAACAAACACTGTGTGTGTGTGTGTGTGTGTGTGTGTGTGTGTGTGTGTGTGTGTGTGTGTGTGTGTGTGTGTGTGTGTGTGTGTGTGTGTGTGTGTGTGTGTGTGTGTGTGTGTGTGTGTGTGTGTGTGTGTACACCTAAAACATTCGGGCCTGCAGGGTCAAAGTCACCTGGCTTTCGCTGTCTCCTTTAACATCCATCACAGCCCGGTCTGCCATCAGCTGGGTAAAGGATGAGCATTCAGAGGTAAATAGACCACAGCTGGTTCTGACACAAAGCATTACAGACGGTAGCTGGAAGTGATTCATAAGACAAACTCTGATTGCTAACAGATCACCTGATCATGGCAGATCTTGCAATATTGTGTAGTTGGCATTATTTTCTAGATTTGAACTCCATCATGTCTCAGCTTAAGAAGATTTCAACTGAGAACTCTGGCTCAACCTTTTGAGTCAGTGATATTTATTCTCTCAAGGATTTGCAGGAATGTAAATCCCGAACGTAAATGTTCCTGTTGTTTGGATGAATACCGGATAAAGGCAAACTGGATCATTACAAACACTCTAAATAAAAGAGGCTTAAAAAATGTATTTATTAAAAATTTACTTTTTCATTCTTGCCTCTTTTGACTTATTTTTAATTTCTAAAAGCTTCTTGTCAAGGAGTGGATTTTTGTCATTTCTGACACCTCATTTGTAACATTTGTGGTCATTTCTACTATTCACAATTCAGCACTGTCAGTCACACGCACACACACAATGAACAGTGAGCGGTAACATCTGCAGACAGATGAGTGTGTGTAGCCCCGGAGCGGCTATCCGAAACAGAGAAACATTCATCCGAGGAGCCGGGGAAAGGAAGGATGTGTGAGAGCAGCTCAACGCAGAGAGAAAAGAGAAGGAGATGAATCAAATGAAGTAGGAAGATAGAGTGTCTCTCTTTTCTTTTTAATAGAGGACGCATTGTTTGGCCTGTAAGTAGTGCATGTGTGTGTGTGTGTGTGTGTGTGTGTGTGTGTCTTCAGCTCAAATCGCCCACACAGAGCAACGCCTGTCAGTTTGCATACTGATGCTGTTAATTAATAGAGCTTTTCTCAGCAGCTGCACCTCTGTGCTGTCATTATGTCATTAATTCAATAACTTCAGAGCTTCAGAGGGGAAATTAAATCTTCACTTCAGGCTTGAAAATGTCTGTTGCTGCTTACATTAGTGCTTAGTTTTCTGAAATAAAGGACCAATATAAACAAAAACAAACAGGGAAACATCAGTAATCATTTCAACCTCATTTCCACAAAATGCTTTTGTGTCCTGCAGGGAAAAGTGCATCTGGAGCTGCGTCTGAGTGAAGTCATCACTGACAGTGGAGCTATCAACCATAAGCTGGCCACACGGTTAGCCCACACACACACACACACACACACACACACTCACTCACTCACTCTCTCTCTCTCTCTCTCTCTCTTTCTCTCTCTCTCTCTCTCTCTCTCTCTCTCTCTGTCTTTCTTATTATGATATTTTCCCAATAGTTCGTTCAAGGTTAAATTAGTTTTTTTGAGTGGTTTTAATTAGTTTGTATTTATTCTTTTATTTCTGTGTAAAAAATATATAATCTAATTTTTATGTCCTTTTTAATGACAAAGATAAAAAAATAATTAAACTTTATTATTATTGCAAACATTTAATTGTGGTTCTGAGCTCTCTCTCTGAAGAGTTATTGCTTTTAATGACGGGAGATGAAAATGACTTCAAAATGAGCTCTGATGCAACGTGGAAAGATGGAGAAAGACAAACTATGTTCTAATGGAGAAACATTTTATTGTTTCTCAGCAAGGATCACAGCACCTTTTTAAAGTGGTCTCTGTTTTCTTAGCTTATGCCTGGTAAGTTTGTGTATTTTATGCTATAAAAACATCTGTTTCAGTTTTTAAAGTAACACTAAACAGTTTCCTGCCCCTCTGCCCTACTGTCATAAACAAACCCACGGCAGCTAGTGCTAACAACGAGCTAATGCTAACACAAGCCAACTAAGCCATAAAGTAAAAATATCTACACAGTTGGAAAAACAAAGTATTTTTACTTACAAATCCAGTAGCAACAAAGCCAGGTCACCATCAGCCCATGATTTCATAGTCTCTCATAGTTCCCTCCAATGTGTGTAGGCAGCACCGGTGTTTACTCTGGTTTTAGCTGTTTGCTTCTTCTCCAAAGATATTACTTTGTTACTTTTACTGTCAGTCTCTACCATGATACCAGCAAAAAAGAAAACTTCCTCTTTTCTTCTTGCTTTTGTGCTTTTTATTGAAAGTTGGTGAACTGAAAAAACTAACTGCTAGCTATTATATTAGCTACCAGGAGAGTAAATGGCTAACAGCTTGTAAAGAGCGCCCCCTAGGGCACCTACCTGCTCCACAAAACTTAAGTGCAGTTTCTGGTCAGCAGAGGACTGTAGAGTGCTGTGTTAGTCAAGTTTCTATCTACACAATCATTGAACCCCACTTTTAAATGAATAACGTATGGCCCTTAGCATCAGCTCCGCTTCGCCTGGACCGGGTTGGGAGTTTTCTCATTTTCCCGAGTGCAACCTGACGTCTTTTCAACTCTCTTCTCAAGGAGGTCTGCCTGTAGCCGAATAATCAGTCAACCTTTATTTGTTGATCACTTTCCACACAGAAGTGACCAAAGTGCTGTACAGTTAAAAACATAACAAATAAAACACAGTAACTATGATAAAACTAATGAAAGTCAGGACTGGGTAAAAATGACTACGTAAAAGAAAATTTAAAAACCAACATGATGCATTCCTGCTCAACCGAGATTAAAAGCCAAGTTAAAGGTGAATTTTTAAAAGAGACTTAAATTAATTCAGAGACTCAGCCTTCCTTATAGACAGAGTAAGATTGTTCCATAGTCTGGGACCAACAGCAGAAAAGGCCCTGTCCCCTCGGGTCACAAGACAAGTCCTAGGGACCTCTAATGGGCCATTCCCATCTGTACCGGGTCGGCCCGGGCCGGGTAGCTTAGGTTGTTTACATATCTGGGTGGCCTGGTATTTTTCTGGGCCAACCAAGGCTCATTCTCAGCCCTCTTCTCGAGGGGGTCTGCTTCAGGCCGACCAGGGCCAACACACCCACTGCTGACAGCAAATTCACACCTTCCATTAGAGCAAGCCTCTGATTGGTGGGTAGAGTCAGCCCACATGGGCTTAAGGCAAGGATGTGTGGAATCAACCGGGCCAGGCTGGGGCCGACTGGGGCTACCCAGCCCGGGCCGACCCGGTACAGATGGGAATGGCCCATAAAAGGAGCTGGAGCTCAGACTTCAAACGTCTAATAGGAACATGCTTGTTCAGAATCTCCTTTAGATAAGGAGGTGCCTGCCCGTTTAAATATTTAAAAACTAACAATAAAATCTTAAAATCAATCCTAAAATGAACAGGCAACCAATGCAGAGAGGACAGAACAGGGGTGATGTGCTCAGAGCACTTAATACCCGTAAACAGATGGGCAACAGCATTTTGCACCAACTGCAGGCGCCGCAGCAGAGTTGTCCAACCCAGCATAAAGGGAGTTGCAGTAGTCCAGTCTAGAGATAATCAGAGCATGGATCACCTTTTCTAAGCCACTATATGATAAATAGGGTTTGATCTTGCTAATTAACCTCAGATAATAAAAGCTAGACTGGACCACTGCGCTGACCTGTTTATCAAGTTTAAAACTGCTACCATGAGGACTCCGAGGTTCCTGACAACGGTAGAGCTAAAAGAACTCAGAGGACCAATAGTACTGCTGCCTTCTGACAGCAAGTCTCTTCCCAAAAACAATTACCTCCGTCTTATTTTCATTGAAATGCAGAAAATTCATCCCCATCCAAGTTTTTATGTCCTTTAAACAGTTCAGCAATTCCTATATTGATTGATTTCCACTTGATTTTAGTGGGAGATAAATTTGTAGATTGACCGCAAAGCAATGAAAAGACAAACCGTATTTCTTAAAATTTGACCCCAAAGGAAGCATATACAGTGAAAAAAGTATAGGTCCTAAAATGGAGCCTTGAGGTACCCCACAGCTCAAAGGGGCCTCAGAGGAGGTAAACTGACCCAACTGGACAGAAAAATTTCTTCCAAACAGATAGGAGCGAAACCAGTTAAGCACTGTGCCCTTAAGACCGACAGACTGTTCCAGATGTGATAATGAAATATCGTGGTCTACCAGTCAAGTCCAGTAAGATTAAAACAGCAGAATCTCCTGAGTCTGCCATTAAAATCAGATCTTTAAAAACTCTAAGAAGTGATGTGAACAGGGCCGACATGTCCACTGCTGACTGACCGGCAGGCTCAAAAGCATGCCTACCATTAGGGGGAGCCTCCAATTGGTGGATAGAATCAGCCCGCCGGGGGCTTCCTGCATCCGCGATTCATTATCATTCTAGATGCCAGACACAGCAAAGCAGGATGCAATATCAGAGTCAGAGTCATGACATCACAGACCGTCCTTGTGCTCAATCACGTTCACATTCCTTAGGCAGTGTAGAACGAACACGGTCAGGCTGGGACGGAGTGAAGCCGATGCTAGTGTGTAAGTGGCATTAAAGTGTTAAAGGGACAATCTCAAGGATAATCCACTTTTCTGATCTTTTCTATTATGTGATATTGTTATTTCCTCATGAAAAAAAATCCAAACCCATTAATGGCTACGTTCATGCATTTTCCTGTTTTAGCTGCAAATTTTGAGTTTTACTTTGAAAATCTTGTAAATCATCAATGGAAACTAGTATCGTTATCAGGCCCTGCTCCTCTCCCAAAAACTAGTCTCTGGTCTGACACCTGTCTTTCTTGGCCAGAGATGTATTTAGGTGACTAGTGTCATATAGCAGACTTGGTAGTCCAGTGGTTAGTCCACTCAGGCAGAGACCTTAACCACTGGACTACCTTAGCAACTGACTCACCCAAGACGCTGTTGTAGGCATGTTTTGTCAGAGCGGGCATGGGCGGAGTTACACTGAAAGAAAGCGTTTTATTTCTGGGCATAAATTCAGGCTGACAAAAATAACTCGTATTTTAAAAAATTACATCTCAATAGTGCCAATGGTTATTTTTTATCATATACTGTGCCTACCTTTGAACATAAAGGTTTAAAACTGCATGATAGGGAACCTTTAAAAACTGTTTAGTGTTAATTAATCTTTGCTTAATAATTTATTTAGGTGTTTTTTACGTTAAACTGAACATCCAAATAAACTGGAGGACGTGGTGTGGTTGTTAGTGTTTGACAGACTGGCCTGAGTATTTCTGCATCTGCTGACCCCACAACCATCTCTATGGTTTAGACAGACAGTGAGCAGCAGCTGTGTGGATGAAAATGTCTCATTGATGTCAGAGGTTAGAGGAGGATGAGCAGACTTGATCTAGATGATAGAAAGGGCTGTAGCAGAGGCTTGGTCAGGAGGAGAGCAGAGATCAGAGCCGGGGAGATCAGAGTAGTTCCAAAAAGGGGCAGGCAAGAGACAGAGTCCTAGCCTGGCAAGCCAGACTAAATAAATGTAAACTTTGCAAAGCAAGAATTTGGTCTAGTTCACTAGGCTAACAGAGTCCAGGATCCAGGTCCGAGGTCAGAAATCCAGGTAATCAGATGCACAAGACAATCCAGGCAGGGTGTAGGCAAAGGGGTAATCCAAAGGTCCAGAACAGGGTCAAGATTGCTTGAGCAGAGGGTCAAGAGTGCTGGAGAATCTACTGGCAAATGCTTTCAATAATCTGGCGCTGGCTTGGTCTTCTTCTTCTTCCGTTGTTAGGTAGACTAGACGCCTATTCGGCGTATTGCTACCACAGCAACCTGTAGATCACATCAAACGACATTCACACCCTCACATACACACCAACCTGACGTAAAAAAGTCATCAGAGCACCCACACACCTTCCATCCTTCACCCTCAATAAGGTTCGCAGACCAAGAACCTCCACCCCCAGAGAACCCAAAAACCTAAACAGGGCCTTCCTCCCGACTGAGTAATCGGCAGCCCACATTGGCACAGACCATCAGTGTGCTTCCCCACTATCAGGAGACCCCCCCCCCCCCCCCCCCCCCCCCCAAGACAGCTATGACTCAACCTCAGCCTCGTCAAGACCACGAAGTCTCTCCTCCTGCTAGAAAGGGTAACCCCGAACCCCCACCCAATGCTGTAGATCATAAAAAGCCCTCCCAGGAACCCCAACATCCCACGAGACCTGCCACAGGTCAAACGCCACCTGACCCACCACCGAGTGACATTCACACGCTCCCAACCCCACTTCCACATCCACCTCACACCTCGAAAATGCCCCCTAGCCAAAGTATCAGCCTTCTCATTACCCTCCACCCCCACATGAACAGGTACTCACACAAAACAAACTTCA